TCATTATAAAAACAAAACGTATTTTAAAACTGCCTAGCATATTTTCAATTCACAGCAGCTTTAACCAAAAGCAACTCTAAAAAACTTAAAAAAAACCAACAAATATTATTTAATCAGAAAGTACTTTTACTTTAGAAGCTTCAGAGGGGTGGGCAAGTTAGTCTGCAACAGGAACAACTTAAAAAAAAAACAAATAGTCTTCATTATAAAAACAAAACGTATTTTAAAACTGCCTAGCATATTTTCAATTCACAGCAGCTTTAACCAAAAGCAACTCTAAAAAACTTAAAAAAAACCAACAAATATTATTTAATCAGAAAGTACTTTTACTTTAGAAGCTTCAGAGGGGTGGGCAAGTTAGTCTGCAACAGGAACAACTTAAAAAAAAAACAAATAGTCTAGTAGAACCTTAAAGACTAACAAAACATGTAGATGGTATCATGAGCTTTCGTGGGCACAACCCACTTTTTCAAATGGGGGGGGGGGAGTGTGAGAAGTCCAGATCCAAGAATAAATAAAGGAAGGGGAGAGGTGGAGGGGGAGAAGGGAAAAAAAGAGAGACAGTAAGTAGATAGTTCAAATAGTTACAAGAGGCTGATAAGAACCATTAGCACCTTCATTGTTTGTTTGTTTGTGGAAGATAATGGTTTATACCATTTGCAAAAGAATTAAACTTGTGAATGAAGTTAAGTTCCAACTGTCTCTGTGTATTTCACTTGTGGAATTGGTCTGAAACAAAAGGTGACTTGGAGATCCATTGATGAGTGTCCAGGAAGATTAAACAACTGGTCTGGTAGCACTTTATAGACTAACAAAACATGTAGATGGTATCATGAGCTTTCGTGGGCACAGCCCACTTCTTCAGGTGACCGGAGTGTTCTCCAAGTGGTTTTTGTGTATTGTCTTTTTGGATATCTGATTTGTGTCCATTAATTCTTTCCCATAGAGACTCTTTTTTTTTTCTTCCTCCCCTCCTTTTTCTCAATTCCTCCCCCCTTCCCATTTATTCTTGGATCTGGGTTGTGCCCACAAAAACATCTAAATGTTTTTTGTTAGTTTTTAAGGTGCGATTAGACTATTGGTTGGTTTTTAAGTTTTTCCTGTTACAGACTAATTCGGCTACCCCTCTGACGCTTCTAAAGTAAAAGTACTTTCTGATTAAATAATGTGATGAATATGAATGTGATAAATAAGGCGCTGGCTTTAGCTTCAATAAAAGATGTTTTGTTTTAAAATAAACTTAAAAAATACTACATAAATTTCCTTGAACAGTCCTGTCTGAAATTGAAGCCTCACAGAAATAATTGGGACTTTTGTCATTAACTTCAGATTATTACCACAGGATTTAAAAGTTTACATTGAAACTCTTCATTCAGAGTGCAGCTCTTTTATGTCAGTGAGACTGTCAGGCACAATTTTGAATTTCCCAGCTTTTTTCAACACTCTGACACCTTAATTTACTGAAAGCTTGATTTGTTTTTTGTAAAGAGCATAACCCTTGGCTTGTGTAGTCAGGTGGTCCTTCTGTATAGTCTGTAGTCACTGGAATTGAAGTATAATTTAGGTGTGCAGTTATACACATCTTTTTAAATCAGGAACTTTAATATCTAAACAGATCTCAAAAAGGGCCATTATAATTTTGGCTTCCACTCCAATGTGCAGTCTTAACAGAATGATGAAGGATTAAATAAATGTGGATTTATCACTTGTGGATAGAAATGTCATTTAAATTAGAACTGGTTTAGGAGGGATACTTGTTCTGTTGCTGAATCTGCTGTTCTGGGAATTAAGGACATAAACTGACTGTGCTGGCAATCTGGAGCTGTTAATAAGTAGAACATTTTATTAAATTTTCAAGTAAAAAATTGAATATAATTGTTTTTACCTCATTCCTTAATTCCAGGAAGAAATTTTAAATACGTGTGTAGACACTATTAGTTTTGACTTTTCCATCAAGCATTTCCCCAAAGAATTAATTTGTTCTTATTCTTAAATAAAAACTGAAAAGTGGCTCGTGCACTGAATTAATTTTATTCAGAAATTTTACAAAAAAAGTACACATTTATGTATAAAAATTTAGAAAAATGGTAAATAGACATCTGCCATAAGTGAAGGAAACAAATATCTAGCAGGTACTGACACAAGAAAATTAGAAACCTAGTAATGAATTCAATCTGGACCCACCTGGAAACGTCTTATGTACGTTTATTCTGCAAGTCACCCCATTAACCAAGCTGACTGTTTTCCTTTGTGTTCCTGTATCTGTAACATCCCACACTTTTGCCACCTATTCTTTTCACTTAGTGTGATTATTTTAATAATTACTATCAGCAAGCAGGACAGCAGTTGTTAGATTCTACTAAGAATGTTATTCGCTATCTTCATAAGCAGATCAAATTGTGGCAGACCTGTGATGGCAATGGTGAGTTAGTTAAAGAATATAAAGAACTTCCAAATTCCTGGGTATGGTATAAAGTCATTTTCTTAAAACTTACCACATATGCTAGATGCTGAATTAATGGACTTGGAGAAAGAGAGCCAGATCCTCAGCTGATGTAAATCAGCATTGCTTCATTGAAGCAAGCATGGCTTTGCTAACTTTCACTACCTGAGGATCTGACCCAGTGGTCTTCTGTGTACACATATAGCCCATATTGATCCCCTGCAACTTATGTGCATCTAGCTAGAATTGTAAGGGCCACCTGAGAAGGGTTATTTTGTTTTTGTTTTGTTTTTTTTCCAATTTCAGTGTCCATTGCTTTTTTATTTCTCCGGGTGGGTAGTTTAGGTTTATAAATGCTTGGTAGAGATCCTGAAGCTTCTGGTCTCTGTCAGTGGGATTAGAGCAGATGCGGTTGTATCGAAGGGCTTGGCTATAGACGATGGATCGTGTGGTGTTGGTTCAAGGTGGTAAAGATATTAAATTCCAATCATTTATTATAAGTAATGGTGTTTATTACATCAGAGGAAAATGGAAACTGCACATTTTAAACTTGCAGTTTCCTTCCAGTTCTTCTTCTCATCCCCATCAACAAAAGCATCAGGACAGCTGTGTGTCTCCCCCACCATTGGAAGAGCCTTTGGAGGGAAAGGTTTAAAACTGGAGATCCCTGGCCTCTCTCCTGTTTCTGTCCCCACTTTGTGTGTCTGCCATGTCTGGATAGCACAAGGTATTTTTTCTGGCTTGCAGGATAAATAATAAACATGTAGAATGAATACAAAGAATCTTTAAAAGTCTGGAAGATCATAGGAACCCTTCTTTTAGCCTAACTGTTAAGCTTTAGTCAAATATTAAGGTATTCCATGAGCAAAGTTTGGCTATTATTTGCAGACCTTTTAAAGATTCCTTGACTACAGCCTGTACATTCACAGTGGATACTCACAGTGATCCAAGAAGAAAGAAAAATCTCATTCCATGCAACATATGATTTAAATTTGAAGTTAATTATTTTCAACAAAAACCTTTCCAGATTTATATGCCTAACTTTCATTGATATTTATTCAAAAAGAAATGAGAGGAGGTCCAATTCTTCTGTATTTGTTCACACGTAATTCTGACTTCAGAGAGACACACTCATACATAATGACTACAGACTTGCAACTATCTGTTTATCCTTTATTTAACCTGGTTATTTAACATTTATATTTCAGTGACACCTTCTATTTAACACATGAACATTACATTGACAGCAGTCTGGGATGTACTGTTAATTTTGTCCCCTGAGACTAGATTTCTGTGTGGAAATTACTGTAACAAAATATATCACCAGACCTTCTCTGTTAGATGAATCTATTTATGGATATTAAATGCCCAGTGATTTTCTTTGGGGATTTTTGTGCCATGAAGAGTTCAGTGTCTAAACAAATGGACTATTGAGCTTATGAGGATTTAGGGAAAAGTTTACACTGGCATTTAAGACACACAAATGTATGAAAATTAGGTTCAATTGTTTTTACCAGCAGCAGAATAAAAGGTTGTTATGGTGTCTTTGTAACAGGCAGCAGAATGTGCTGGAAAGTTGTTTATCTTCCATTCTTCGTTGCCAACTGCTGAAGCACCAGGGAAGCTGAAAAATAGAGATGACAAAAAACTGGTCAATACAGATAAAGAGAAGGTATTGTCTATTTATAGCTTAAAATGAATTGAGAAGAAAATTGCAATGATTTTTGTTAGATTTCTTCAAATAATGGGTTGAATTTCAGTAACGGTGTATTAATGATTTAAGTTTATGAAGTTTGTATGAGTACTTTTGATCTACCTAGCACACATTAATGTTAATTTTAAGTCAGCAACAAAGTGATACTACCCTAAATCACCCCACTCCACCAAATAAATGAAGCCCATACAAGTGAAAAGGCCATTCCTTTTAACTAGGAATTTTAGTTACTGTGTCACCTCAATGCTTTGTTCTCTAGAAACTTATAAAATTAAGTTCTCACTACATTTTGAGCCTGTTTCCTAGAGCACAGATGATGAGCTGGTGGCTGGCATGGGTTTTAGAAGTGATGGCCTAATTCTTTATCTTAACAGTTGAACATCAGTGCCACCTGTACCAGTGCAATGAGTTCTGACATGTCCTAGAATCACACAGTTTGGTAGGCTCTGAGATTCAAAGGTTTCCACCATTATGAGTCAGGCTTCCCAAGCAACAGAAAAGGACTGTGCTATGTATTAAGATTCCAAGTTCATTTGTTCATTTAAGAGACAGGCAAGGAAGTAGCATTTCTTCAGTCTTCTTGCCTCCTTCCTCCCCCCCCCCCTCCAAAAAAAGCCATCAAGAAGCAGAGGAACAAAGCTGGGTCTTGCATTCCTCAGTGACAGACACCTTGGTTCTCCCATGACCAGACCACAGCCATGCTCTTCTTTCACAGTGACACATGCACCAACACCCAACTGTGTATCCTTTCCATTCTCACCCCCATTTAACGCTCACATTTCCACTCCTTCCAACAAAAGTTGGTCTCCACGCAAGTTTTGGTTGTGCCACCAGATGCCTTAGCAAAACTGCCCTCTGTGCTGGTTAATATCCCCCTCATATTCCAGGGCCTGTACTTAGCTATAAATTGAGAACTAAATTTTGCTCTGCTACATGCATAAAGTCGCCACTGATTTCAGTGGGAGTTGGGTATATGCAGCTGAAGGCTAAATTAGGGTCTCTAGCAGTTTTCATTCCATCATTTTTAATTTTCATGTAGACAGCTGAATTGTTAACATTATCAACAATAGCTTGAGCTATGTCCAGCGAGAAATTACCATAATTTTAAATTCTCTGCAGATACTTTTCCAGCCTCAGGTGAATTTCTATGAGTCCCTGGCCAGAGATTGTGTGGCTAATGGCTGCTGCGTGAATCTATTCCTCTTCCCAAACCAGTATGTGGATGTAGCCTCGATGGGTCTTGTCACAATGTACACTGGAGGAACTCTTTACAAATACAACAATTTTCAGGTTAGTTCTAACAGATTCTTTAATTGCCAGAGAGTTGCTAGGAATTTACTGTTTTCTTTCCATTATAAAGGTGTACCTCCTACTCTAGCATAAAAAAATGAGTGACGCTGGAGAGACTGTGTGTTTCCCCTAGTGGACAGAATGCAAAACTTGGAAATGAGAAGTCTAACTCAAAGGCTTTGAAAAACTTCAGTCTCTTCAATCTCTGAAACCAGCTGGTTACTAACTTAAAATAAATCCTGCTTACCTAACTACATTAAGACATTTGAATTCATTGACTTATAAGCAGATGCAGCAATTACTGTTGAACATCACAAACAAATACTTCTATCCAAAAGGAAATGGGACAGCCTTTGGAAACAAATGAGAATCTAATCATATATTCAAAAAGTTTTGCGTATTTCCAAACATCCGCAGGAGTCACGGCTTTCCAGTAATGTTGCTTATAGGGTGAAATTCATTTCTGTGTAGAGGGGAGCCATATTTGAGAATTTCTGTAGGCAAGAGAGGATTTTCTCTGTGCACAAAATGATTTGAATATTTGTGGGGTTGTTTCTTGTCAAAACAAGCAAGAAAACATACAAAGTGCAAACAGTCCTGTCTGGGGCTTTGAAATGACACCGGTTGTCCACAAAGGGAATATCAGTGCAGCAGCTCAGTAATAGTCGATGGAATGCATCCTGTGGTATCCCTTTTGGGAGTAGAGGAATTCTAAATGTTCAAGATTGTAGAATTTTTGCTATTGAACTGGATGAATCTTGCACATTCTCATTTCTGTGCAAAAGTGAAATGCAGAATATTGCAGATGGCTCATTTTAAAGAGGATAATATTTTATATACACGCCCATTTAACAGAATACGGTATTTTAAAGACTGTATGGCATTTTTTGACTCTTTGCTGCCATCCAGTGGTAGATGTCAACTTTGGTTTTGATTTGTGTTTTTAGGTACATTCCGATGGTCCCCAATTTCTGAGTGACCTCAGAAAGGACATAGAAAAAAGAACAGGATTTGATGCAATCATGAGGGTTCGCACAAGTACAGGTAACACCCACCCTTTTGGATGAGAATTAACTTGAGTGCACATTTCAGTTTTATGGCATCATATTCATTAGTTCCTGAAGAATAGGATTGTTGAGAACTAACAGATCATAGTATTTTAAATAATAGCATGTTGGAAATTTTGTACAGGTTCTTTCTATGATGCCGTGTATTATTTTATACCTTGAGGGGCACTTCGCTAGAAAGCAGTGTGTGAAGAGTATACGCTTTTACATTTGAATATGCAGAGTTCTGCTTGTGTATGAAATTAATCTGCATATACAAATGCGGGTTTTGCTCATAGTACACGTATCTCCAGAGGTAGTGTTTCTGTAAATCACTTCTATCAACTGGTGTATACCCACTCGTTCCCAGGCTTTGTAAAATCCTCTGTTGTAGTCAAAAACTTGTTTTTTCAAACAATTTTTCCTACAAATATAGGGATTCCAGGGCCAGCTTTAAACAGGTCAGGTATCCAGAGGAGCACAAACTTTTCTGTGGATCTTGAAACACAGGACCAGTTCTGCAACAGCTCGTCCTTTGCTCTGGCTCAACTGCCAGATGGAGAGTGTCTTCTGTTACCATGCCTCTTTTTGGCAGTGAAAACAGAAGTGGCCAACTACTAGAGTACTTGAGGCTTCCCAGATGTTAAAGTCACTCTGAGAATGATTGAAAAAATAGTTCCTCTCCCTTCCTGCAGAGCATATTGAACATCAATAAATAATGGGTCACAAAGCCACATCACTTGCAAATGACAAATCAAAGTAAATTATGTTTTATCGGACTCCAGGTTTCAGGGCTACTGACTTCTTTGGTGCCATTTACATGAACAACACCACAGATGTGGAGATGGCAGCAATAGACTGCGACAAAGCAATAACCGTGGAGTTCAAGCACGATGACAAATTAAATGAAGACACTGGAGCCTTAATTCAGGTAACAAATGTTAGTTCTGTGTCCTTTCATTAAATAACGTGCAGGATTTATTTTTCAGTAATAATAAAATACCTCCCACTCATGGCATGGGTGTAGAGTATTGACTTGAGTCAGGAATAACTTATCTTGTACAAACTCAGTGCTGTCTTGCCAGGGATGTGCTGCCAATTAAGGTTCAGAGGCATGCTTTAATGAACAACAAAGTAGTAGTAATCTGCTATATAATTGTGTTTGTCTGTCTGTCCAAGAACTCCTAAATTGTAAGAGCTAGGCCCACCATATTTGGTATCCTCTTATCTTAACTTAAAGCAAAGTCATGGTTGGTTTGTGCACACACCCTCAGATTCATATAGGGATGCATAATATACCATACAGAAAAGAGACAATCACCAGGCAGGTGAAAGGGACTGGCTGTGCCCTCCCTCTGGGACTGCCCCAGACCCTGGCCTTCTACTCCCCAGGCACCCTTTAGGGATGGCGAAGCGGTAGAAAGCCTGCAGCTCCCCCATTCCAATTAATAGGGGGACATGGCTGGCTGTTTCCACTTGTCAGGGAGCAAGAGGAAAGTGCAGTTTGCTCTGTTGCTTCTCTAACTGGGGAACTAGGAGGCAGATGAACTTGGACTGCCCCAGTCCAGGCACATGCTGGAGCTGTAGTGGCCATAAGAAGCACTTCTTACTTGGCCCCAAGCTACTACAATGAGAGAGGGCTGGGGTAGTCTTCTCTCACTGGGGCAGCCTGCATACTGAACCCCTCATCCCAGCCCCACCCCAGGGAAATGATTTAAATGAAGAACAAAAAAAACTGGGAGGGGTGCATATCCCCTGGCTGGAGCAGTCCAGGTTCATCTGCCCCCTGGCTCCCCAGCCAGAGTGGAGAATGGAGCAAACTGCACTCCATTGATGAGGGGCACCCAAAATGCCAGCTAAATCTTCTATTGATATTAATAGAGTGCACCTCTTCCATCTGAGGATCTCAAAGTACTTAAGTCCCACAACTCTTCTTTGAGGTAGGTAAGCAGCATCTCCGTTTTATAGCTGGGTAGAGGGCGATTCATGGAATGAGATCCTGTTCACCATAAGTAGAGAAGGTAGAATCTGGCTGTAAATGACACTGTGACTAGCTGGCCATATAAAGCCAGGGAATTAAGTTCCCCATAAACTTCTGCCAGTGCAACATTTATGCAAACACTTCCCAATATGTTGACTTGCCTCATAGTTGTGTTGGGCACAATTGGGGACTCAGTTGAAACTTCTGAAATCCATTTCATGTTTGACTTCAGCTTGTGTGAATCCTAGACATGAAATTCAAGGTGTGAATTCATTGTTGTGCCAACTCCCTACTCACTTCTACGTGTTTCAGTACTAAAGAGGTAAACATTTCTGTAGATTCAGATTACTTTGTGTGAAAGCTAGATTATTTTAATTACGGATTTTTTAGAAAAGTTTATAAAATAACTTTAGGGTTTATTTTTAAAAATATTTCTCATTCTTAAAAAAATCCGTATAGAAGTACTCTCTATTGCATGTGTAGTTTATCGTCTCTCTAACTCAATGTAATTCAATTTTTATGTGGAAACCATTATTAACAATCAGCAACTAGGCTTATCTGTGAACATATACAAACATTGGGCCAACTTAATTCAATAAACTCTTCAGTTTCTTTGCTATTTCTCTGTTGGCAAGGGTAAGGTTTGGTCCTACACTTCCTCTGGAGAAGAGGCACAGAGCTCCTCTCCAGTGCCTGGAGAGCTCTTCTCCCAGGATCCACAAGCTTTGGGCAACCACATGGAAACCTCTTGCCCAAGCTCACAACTGCCTGCATCACAACTCCTGGAGAAGCCCCTCTCCTGCTCACAAGAAGTTCTATAGCACAGAGGTGGAAACTGTAATATGTGAGGTTGTACTTCAAGTTGAATTGGGGGAGTTTTGTTGCGTTTCTTTTTATGTAGTCTAACACTCCTGTTCAACTCCATCCCCTTGCCAGACAAGGCCTCTTCCTTACCTGGATCTACAGGCATTCATGGAAGTAGTGGGGGAGCATGGATGCACATCTAATGCACAAGAAATTAAATAGTTTTGAGTGCTCTGCTAACCAAGGCTGATGTCATCAATGCTCATGGTTTAGAACCAAAGTTAACAGGTGTTCCCAATAAAATGGGGATATTCTTGGAAATTTAAATTTAAAGATTGATTAGGGTTCAGAATTTTCTGCTGTTAAAGTTATTAGTGATGACTTTGATAGTTACATGCCTTAGAAGGATGCATCTCTCAATGAGTAATTGTCACCAGTTATAACTGCTTATTCATGACTTTTCTTTTTAACCCCCAGAAAATGATAGATTATGATCTTCGAAGCTAAGCCACAAAATTACCTAAACTGTTATTTTTTTGCTCTTTCTTCTGTCAAGCTCCTAGAAATCTAATGTATGATTCAGTAGTTAATCCTTGGGTAAATGCAGTTCATAAAACATAACAGGCCTTGGTATGTGTGAAATCATTTCCTAGGGCATAGTACAATATTGACATTGGATGTACATTCCTTGTAGAGTAATTTTAACATCTCCATTTCAAATGGGAGTTGTTCATTAAAGGTCTGATCAAGGCACACTGAAGTCAATGCACTTTTTCTATTTATTTTAGAGGGCTTTGGATCAGGCCCATCAATAATAAAACAATGACAATTTCATTCAGATTGCGAAAAGCATTACTGGGTACAATATTTAGATGAATATGGTTCAGGAAATATGTCTGACAAAAAGAAATCCTGTTCTCAATTCCTTTCTTATTTTATATCAGTTTCCCTAAATACTAGTGCCACATTTAAACAAAATAAAATTGGATTCTAGTGCAATGATAAAAAACTCTCGAATACAGCTTAACTTTATGCGACTGCGTTATTAATCTTTTCTTCATATTCTTTTCCTTCCTCCCTTTATTTTTATTATGTGATGACAGCAATAACGTGTTGTGTTGAATAGTTGTTAAATAGTTTTCTCCCTATTGTGTGGACTGTGTGTTCATTTACATTTACTTGCTGAACTGTTTTCTTTAATAAAGTTTTTCAAAATTTAAACGGCTAAAATCTTGTGACTTTTTAAAACAAAGTTGCTGCCAGTTCTTGCTGTTTTCCAATGATGTCATCTGTCTGTGGCACTGAGACCAGCAAGTTTTTTAATCACTCATGTTGTTGCTGTGTAAATTTTGAGATGAATTGTTTCTTTGATGGGTTTATATATCTATGTCTTTACATTGTGACTGTTGAGGAAATTGTTCCTATAGCTCATTAATATCTGATGAAAGTAGCTAGTCCATCCTCACATACAGCATCTGTCATTGTTGTTGCCTGTTGGAATTGTGAAGACCAGTTAGTATAAAATTAAAAAATCCATTAAAGTAAACTGTAGTGAAAACTAAAACTGTTCTTATCATTGCAGTTTGCTGTACTTTACACTTCGATAAGTGGGCAAAGACGACTCCGCGTACACAATATTGGCTTAAACTGTAGTTCCCAGTTAGCAGATCTCTACAAGAGTTGTGAAACTGATGCACTTATAAACTTTTTTGCTAAATCAGGTACATTTATGAACTCCCACTTATTTTTGCTTTAGAAAAAAAATTATACATAGGAAACATGATTCTCCTCTAACTTACGCTGAAAAACTGAAGTCAGTGAAATCAATGGATTTACATCAGCATACAATACAGAAGAGATTCAAGACTGTATGTTTTTCAAGAAGCAGAGTTGTTTGTATCTGGAATATACTTAGACAAAGTTTGTATAGTACTGATTTATTTGAAAGTCAGGCAGCTGAAACAGATACTAATTTAAAATAGCTGCAGAAGCAATGTGACTTTCTTTACCATTGTATGCAGGTTTTATGTCTAATTTAGAACAGTAGTCAGCAAGTGATCAAGCATGATTTATTGTTGAATTCTGGAGACTGGTGGTGGAGTGGGATTGTTAAAGCAGGCTTCCTGTCTGCCCTGACCCTACCCTGCACCTGAAGTGGCCAGCATGTGGTCCGAAGGGAGGCCAGGGGGTCTCTCCACAGGGCTCTGCAAGCATTGCCCCTGCAGCTCCCATTGGCTGTGAATGGGGAACTGTTGCCAATGGGAGCTGCAGGGGGCAGTGCCTGAAGAGAGAGGCAGCATGCGGAGTATATGCCAGCCACAGGGGTGCATTGGCCTCTTTCGGGAGGATGTGGGGCTTAGCAGCAGCCCTGCTTCACTGCTACCATAGCTGGGAGCTGACATCTTAAACCTTCTCCCAGAGCCTGCACTTCATACACCCTACTCCAGCCCTGGCCACCCCTCCCGCAGACAGCTCCCAATAGCCCCCCTGCACCCAAATGCTTTTCCAGAGTCCTCAGCTCCAGGCCATACTCCCTCCCAAACCCCTGGCTCAGCCTGGTAAAAGTGAGTGAAGATTGGGGAGAGTGAGTGGGGCAGGACTTCAGGGAAGGAATGGGATCCTTGGTTGCCCTTTAATTTAAAACAAAAATCTTAGGTGTAAGAAGGTTGGAGACCACTGCTTTAGGATGACCTTTTCCTTTATTTTGTAATTGCAGCTTTCAAAGCCATTTTAAGCCAGCCCTTGAAGACAGTCAGAGAGATCCTGGTGAATCAGACTGCTCGTATGCTGGCATGTTACAGAAAGAATTGTGCCACCCCATCTACAGTAAGCCAGGTAAAATGCAGTCCAAGGAAAATGCTCCATATTGGAGTTTGTACTAGAGTTAAATAACTTGCATTACAACAGCTGTGATGTCAGATGAAAATTTCAGAGCAAGGTTTAATTTCCTTTCATCCTGAATAATTTCTCTTTTTTTTAAGAAAAGCAGTGATTGATTATAAGAAGAGTTATGAAAGTGCACTGGTATTTCTCACTGTATCATATTTTACTTACTACAACACTTTGTAACACACTAACCCTACTTTTTGTCCTATGACTACAGAGGTGCTAATGGACCATACTATCTTGAATGATCCATTAGAATACTTGTTAAATTCTATTTGACCTTGTATTAGCTGTGAGGCACTAAATACCTTTCCCAGAACTGACTCCCCATGTCATTATGTATTTAGCAAATATGCTAACTATAGAGCAATATGTAGATGAGGAGCGAAGTGCATTCTCTAGTTTGGATGTTCTTTAATATTGCCAGCCAAGGAGCAACTAGTCTAAAAGGGCTTTCCGCAAATCCTTGTATCTTGTTTGTAGTTTCCACCAGGGGGTTAGTACCAGTGTAGTAACCAGCCACACTCTGGAATTGAATCCAGATTAAATGAAATGCTACTTTAACTTGTAAAAAGAAGACTCATACTTTTCACAATACTGCATGGTGGTCTACTCTGAAGGTAAAGTAGTGATTAGTCAGGACACCTGTGGCATGTTTGTTTGCTTTAAATGCCTTTTCTGTATAATAATACCTTTAGGATATTTATGCCTTTACAGTGTGATCTACTTGAATAGGCATAGGAGTGGGGATTCAAGAGCTGGATTCTGTTCCTGGTGCCCCCACTGGCCTATTGGGTGACCTTAGGCAAGTCACTTAATAGTTCTGTGCCTCAGTTTTCCCATCTAAAGAAGGATATTTTACATTATTTCCATTACATAATTAACATCTTTTTTTTCCTTCCTTGAAGAGGAACCCAGCAATTTAATGGAGTGATGATTACACGGAGTAATAAAATTATAATTGTTAGTTTATTTAGTTAAGTTACTCGGTGCCCATTCAAGCATAAAGGATATTTGTAACCACACTGGCATTTTAAATGTTAATTGTTTTAAGTTGATTTACAACAGGCTGATGTTTTATTGTGAGCATCACATTTTCATACTGAATAAAATACAGGACTATGTAGCACTTTAAAGACTAACAAGATGGTTTATTAGATGATGAGCTTTCGTGGGCCAGACCCACTTCCTCAGATCAAATAGTGGAAGAAAATAGTCACAACCATATATACCAAAGGATACAATTAAAAAAAAAAGAACACATATGAAAAGGAAAAATCACATTTCAGAACAGAAGAGGGATGCGGCGGGGGGGAGGGGGAGGAGAAGGAAGGTAAATGCCTGTGAGTTAATGATATTAGAGGTAGGGAAGGGTAGATGTCTGTGAGTTAATTGTATTAGAGGTGATAATTGGGGAAGCTATCTTTGAATGACAGTTCAGAAGATTCTCTTTGAAGTGTGGTGTGAAAAGGTCTTTGAAGCAGGATGCAGGTACTCAAGTCGTTGAGACAATGTCCTTTCTGGTTGAAATGGTAAGAAACTGTTTTTTCTTTGTGATCCTGCCTAATATCTGTTTTGTGGGCATTGATCCTTTGGCGAAGTGTCTGAGACGTCTGTCCAACGTACATAGCAGACGGACACTTTTGACACATGATAGCATAAATTATATTTTTGGATGCACAGGAATATGTGTTCTTGATCTTGTATCCTTTGGCATATATGGTTGTGACAATTTTCTTCCACCATTTTTATACTGGTACACCAAGATGTTGCATTGTGTGCTCAAATAGGAATGTAAGCAACTACTCACTTCCCCTCCCCCCCCTTGCTGCCTCTATCAGTCTGGGGGCAGGGGAGGGCGAAGAGGAGCTAGTGCTGGGGAGAACCGGTTTAAAAATTGGCTCCCTCCCCCCCAGCACCGTCTTTGCGGGGGGCAGGTGAGGCAGAGGAGTAGTGGAGATCCAGTGCCAGCCGGGAATCAACTGATTCCCTGCTCGCATCCAGTCACAGATGTTGCACCTCTGCTTTTTAAATGTATTAAGAGTTGGCAGGAAGCTAACCCCACTGAGCCCCCCTCCCCAGTTATCGACTAGTCAATTACAGTAACTTTAACATCCCTCTGTCTAAGGGTACGTCTAGAGGCATGTAGATTAGGCTACCATACATAGTAAAATGAAGCGGCGATTTAAATAATCGCTGTTTCATTTAAATTTACATGGCTGCCGCGCTGAGCCAACAAAGAGCTCTGGTGACAGTGGCATGTAGTCTAGACCAGGCATGTCCAAAGTCTGGCCCGCGGGCCAATTGCGGCCCGTGTTCTGGTTTAATACGGCCCCACAGGTAATTTGGCAATATCTATCTTTTATGGCCCCCAACGAATCCATATGTATTGAGATGAATACATTGTAAAATCTCAGTTAATGTCAGTTGGTCTAAATCAGTTATAAATATATTTGGACACAACATGTATACTTGGTGTTATGTTCCTGTTCATATTTTTTGAACTTAAAAGTTGACAGACAACTTTTATTACCAATAATATGTAATGTACTTTACAATGTTCCTGACATATATTTCAGCTTCCTGGATTTTTTTTTTCATCTGGCCTTCAGATATGAAAGGCAGAATGATTTAACACCTGTTTAGATTTGTCATCCATGTGATGAAATGAAAAGTATGCCGTTTGCAATAAACGTTGCATAAAATAGTTAATTTGCATTTAATTTTAATGGTTCAAAGAATGTCAGGCAAAATGGTCGGCCCTTACGCATGTTCACTTCATCAAATCTGGCCCTCTTTGAAAAAAGTTTGGACACCCCTGGTCTAGACGTACCCTATGTGCACATTAGAATGACATTCTGCTCTCATTATGCCTTCAGGTGCTGGTCTGTTTACTATTGACGTAATATCATTCTCCATCCTCCTCTTACAAAACTGGGAGAGGAAGAAGCTCAAGTAACTTCTGCATTTTGTTAGTGCTTAATTACTGACTCTAAATACTTATCTTTGCGATTTCTTTGCAAGCAGCTGCTTCAGATAGTCCTGAGTCAGCTAAAATAACACTAATTATTTCATAATTAAAATATCTTAAAAATAAATGGTAAAAGATTGTTTAGGAGAAGCTTAGAAATTCAATCCATTGAGTATATTAAATAAGATCTTTATCTTTCAGCTTATCCTTCCTGATGCGATGAAGGTGCTGCCAGTTTATATTAATTGTTTATTAAAAAACTGTGTGCTAGTTGGCAGACCAGAAATTCCAACAGATGAAAGAGCTTATCATAGGCAGTTGGTCATGTCTATGGATGTTGCTGATACCCAGTTGTTGTTCTATCCACAGCTTCTTCCAATTGTAAGTATACATTAATAGTGAATTTTTTTCTAGTGGGGAAACTGTTTTTATGGGGTTTCAGTAAAAGTGATTCTTGGCTCAGACATGCAGAATTAAATTATCTGACTGTGTATGTGCACAAAGTGTTTGTTTTGTATTGAGTGTTTCCATGTTGTAGAGGTACTGTCTTGCTTTTGTTGCTACATGTAGTCTTCAGCTGATCAAGCAGATTGAAATTTCAGTCTGAAAATGACTTGAGAAAGTTACTAACCAGAAAAAATAACTCCACAGCAACTGAGGACAATGAGACTGCATATACACAGACATAATCACTTTAACAAACTATCTAGACATTTGGGGCAAAGAGTGGATGCTTTTGTTTTGCTCAATATTGTGCTAACCTTGCTGAATTGTTTTCTTCATGTTATTTTTTTCTAATTCAGTATTAAATGATGCTAACATTGTTAATTAACAGTTTTATTGGCATTTTAAAGAATTCCTGAATTAGAGGTAGTAAAAGATGACTATAGTCCACTTATGCACAGGAAGTTCTGTCTTTCAGAAATAATTAGCATGAGCAGAAGTATCAGAGGGGTAGCCGTGTTAGTCTGAATCTTCATAAACAACGAGAAGTCCTGTGGCAGCTTATAGACTAACAGATTTATTGGAGCATAAGCTTTTGTGGACAAAGACCCACTTTGTCACATAGGATCATAGAGCTGGAAGAGACCTCAGAAGGTCATCAAGTCCAGCCCTCTGCCCAAGGCAGGACCAATCCCAACTAAATCAACCCAGCCAGGGCTTTGTCAAACAAACTTAAAAACCTCTAGGGATGGAGATCCCATTTCTTCCCTAGGTAACCCATTCTAGTGCTTCACCACCCTCCTAGTGAAATAGTTTTTCCTAATATCCAACCTAGCCCTCCCCCACTGTAACTTGAGACCATTGCTCTTTTTTCTGCCACCTGTCACTGCTGAAAACAGCCTCTCTCCATGGCTGCTATCAAATCCCCCCTCACTCTTCTCTTCTGCAGACTATACAACCCCCTGAGCCTTTCCTCGTAAGTCATGTGCTTCAGCCCCCTAGTCATTTTGGTTGCCCTCTCCAGTCCTTTCTATGGTGGGCGACTCAGAACTGGACACAATACTCCAGGGCTGTGTCTAGACTGGCCAGTTTTTCCAGAAAATCTGGCCAGCTGTCTACACTGGCCACTTGAATTTCCGCAAAAGCACTGACTTCCTACTGTAAGAAATCAGTGCTTTTTTGCGGAAATACTATGCTGCTCCCATTCATGCAAAAGTCCCTTTTGAGCAAAAGTTTTGCGCAAAAGGGCCAGTGTAGACAGCTCAGATTTGTTTTCCGCAAAAAAGCCCCGATCGTGAAAATGGCGATCGGGGATTTTTTGCGCAAAAGTGCCTCTAGATTGGCCACAGACGCTTTTCCGCAAGAAGTGCTTTTGCGGAAAAGCATCCGTGCCAATCTAGACGCTCTGTTCCGAAAATTCTTTTAACGGAAAAGTTTTCCGTTAAAAGCATTTCCGGAAAATCATGGCCGTCTAGATGTAGCCTTAGTGTATTCAAAGTAGGGATGTAAGTGACTAGTCAACTAGTGACTTGACTAGTGGCTTCCCCCACCCTTGTTGCCTCTATCAGAGACAGTAAGGGGTGGGGGGAGCCGGCTTAAAAGTCAGTTTGCCCCCTCCCCCATGAAGACAGTGCTGAGGGGGAGGCATAGTGAGGGACCGAGCGCAAGCAGGGAATAAGCTCTTAATACATTTAAAGAGCAGGGTTAACTCCTGTAGTTTTCCCCTCTTATCGAGTAATCGATTTAACACAATTTAACATCCTTAAATCAAAGTTGTCTGCTTGCAACAGTGATTAAGTTTTTACCACTGCCAGCTTTGCAGAGGCAGTACAACTATGAGAACAATGAGCTGAGTACTTCGCTTGCAAATCATTGACAGGATTGTTAAAAAAAGTACTTTGCTTGCAAATCATTGACAGGATTGTTAACTAAATTCCAGTCAAAATTGTGCAACCCAGATGTCTCTGATTAAGACAGCAAGGCACATCAATATAGTACAAGAGTAGTCTAGCAAACTCTTTGGCTGTGTCTAGACTGGCAAGTTTTTCTGGAAAACCAGCCGTCCCAGCTGTCTACACTGGCTGCTTGAATTTCCGGAAAAGCACTGACTGTCTCATGTAAGATTGTCAGTGCTTTTCCGGAAATACGGTGCTGCTCCCGTTCGGGCAAAAGTCTTTTTCCGAAAGACTTTTGTGCAAAAGGGCCAGTGTAGACAGCACAGTACTGTTTTCCGCAAAAAGCCCCGATCGCAAAAATGGCGATCGGGGCTTTTTTTTTTTGCGGAAAAGCGCATCTAGATTGGCCACGGATGCTTTTCCGCAAAAAGTGCTTTTGCGGAAAAGCATTCTGCCAATCTGGACGCGCTTTTCCGAAAATGCTTTTAACAGAAAAGTTTTCCGTTAAAAGCATTTTCGGAAAATCATGCCGGTGTAGACGTAGCCTTTGGCTTAAGGAATCTATCAGGGGCAGTGATGTTTGAGCCAGAAAGAACACAGAGTCTTCCAAAACTTAGATTGAGAAAACTGGAAAGGAGTAATTGAGAGATAATAAATGTATGATCTAAAATGCCATTTTTTCATAGCTACACTGAAAAAGGAAATTGCACATTAAGAAGCTTCTTTATAGGACTTTTAGGGCATGTCTATACAGCGGTGGAACTCGAGTTAAGGTACACAACTTCAGCTACATCAGTTGCTTAGCTTAAGTCAGAATAGCTTAATTTGGCTTTTGACACTATCTACACAGCAGGAAGAGCACTTTTCCTCCGACTTCCCTTACTCCTCGTGAAACAAGGGTTACAGGAGACACAGTAAGAAGTCCTCCAGTGCAGATGCATGCTCTGTTACTCTGAAATAGTGCTGCTGTGTAGATGTACCCTTTGTAAATTTAGCTACACTAAAAGACTGGCAGAATTCACAACTCTTCTTCCCCTTATCCTACAGCACACTATGGAAGTAAAGAGTGATGCTTTCCCGATGGCTGTCCGTTGCTCAGAGGAACGTCTGTCTGAAGGAGGAGTATTCTTCTTGGCAAATGGGCTAAATATGTTCTTGTGGCTGGGAGTCAGTGCCCCCCCAGAACTTATTCAAGGGATCTTTAATGTGCCATCCTTTGCACACATCAGCACAGAGGCGGTGAGTACATTGGCATGGAGGGGACAGGACTGGTCTGCAGAAAACTTATATAAATGGGAAGTGGTACAATAGTTACACTACTGAGACCATAACTTGAATAGAAAGGAGAGTGTAGGTAGTCCAGTCAGTGGCTCTTACTTTACCCCTCCAGGGGCCAGTAGCATAGGGGATGTGGCTGGGGAAAGAGATCCTTTTTGCCCCCATAATTCCCAGCGGCTGTAACAGCCGCTTGGATACACTGGCCACCAGTGCAGGTAAGAGCACCTAAACTGTGCTGGATGATGACCAGCTCAACACAAAGTGATCAAAGGAGCACAGAAGACCACCTTCTGGCACTACCATCTCAATTCAGCTGATGCTCTATCCCCCCATTGGTAGTAAAGTCACCTTAACCTCTACATTTCCTTATGAGACACTAAGACACAATGCTAGATTTGCAAGGGCTAACACTAACCTGCAACTTCAAATGCTAGTTCACAATCCAACTTATTTGCATTATTAATAGAGGAAAGGCACCAAGGACAGCTTCAGAACTTCTCTCAAGAGAAAAGTAATCCCATCAAATGACAGACTGAAATAATTTGGCATTGTGGTGATGGGGCAGGAGCACAGCATGCTGGGCTAGAGCACACTTGCTAAAATCTGACTACAGTTCCACCACACTGCTGCTACATCAATCTGGACTCTCTCTTCTCCCCCCCCCCCCCCCCTGGTTCAAGTCTTCCCAGTACCCACAGGGCAAAGTACTCACTGCACAGCAATTGCACCTGCTCTGCTTGTGCAGTTTTACTACTAGTATTTAGTAGTAGAGAGCCCTGCAGAGAACCTCAACTTTTCCATGAATTTATCCTGAGCAAAAATGCTACATATTTGTTCATGGTGACAAAGTACATTTCCTATTCAGTGCCATCGAGGGTATTACTTTTGAAATTGCCTCCAATAGCATGAACCAAAAAAAGTATCACACAGTATAGGCAGAGTTAAGACAAAAGTGAAAAATGTTAGCTCTGAACTTCCCCTCTCATGACAACACTGTTCTATTTATCTTTGAATAAATGCCATTACGTTGCATATAATTGCCATGGGTTGAGTATTTAAATAACTTCCGTGTTAGTTGTCCCACTGGAAAGCTGATATTTCATTGAAGGCATGCAGTTGAATTCATCTGCATAGATCTGGCCATTGGTATATCTTCCTGTTTGAAATGGGAATTGGTTACACCTTTCCACAATCAAAAAGTATAATTTTATTAGGTCTCTGAAAGCCTTTCCTACAAAACATATACACAGCCCTCTTAATGTTCTTAGTCACTAATGTTATCATTAACCCTTCAAATGATGTGTGTAGCCATATAACCACTCATCTTGTAATTCTGTTAGACTCTACTCCCTGTAGCGGACAATCCCTACTCAAAGAAGCTCAGATCAATAATGGATTACATCCAGAGCAAAAGGCCTTACACCATGAAGGTAGGCGAGAAAAAAAATTGTGTTTTTTTTTTTTTTTTTTCAAGTAACTCATCAAGTCAGAATTCTTGTCCATTAAAAATACTTGTGCAGTGCTGGCTTTGCAGGATTGGCACCTTTGTTACAGGTTATAAGTTTCTAGTCAAAGGGTCCCCTGTCCACAAATCCTTCTAACTGCATGGGCTTTTGACTTACTCAGGCCTTTCCCCTGATCCAGGGCATGCTGATGATCAGTCTATTTTTTTCTTGCTGGGTAAGAATTGTAGCTCTTGTCCAGAGGGAGTTCCATTCTGCTTCCACTGCTGTCCACATCAGTTTTACTATTGATTTAAATAGTAGCAAAGTCAGGCAGATATAGCACACTTTCCGTAAATGCCACAATAAAGCTGTAAAAGCTGGTAAGTCTCCCCTGCTGGTAAATACTCAGCAAATCAAGCAGTTCACTTGCAGTAATTAAAAAAAAAAAATCAATCTGGTGTTTTGAATGGGCTTGCATGTGAACTGAACAGACGCGGATTGATTTAGGGCAAGATCAAAAAATGGGTGCTTAGGCTGTTCCACAATACTAACACATTGTAGGATAGTACTGCAGACACTAAGTCACCATGAAGGTTATACTATTACATCCAAACTGTGCATGCACTGAAGCTTATGAAGATGTAGTAGTATGAATTGCACATGGCAGCCTGACCTCCCAGTGTACATAGGTGCTTGTGCAGCCCTGATGGTCATTTTTAGTAAGCTGGCTGGATCAGTTAGCCTGGGGGTGTCTGAGTTACACACGCTGTACTCCCGCAGAATAGTTGGTAGTGCTAAACTCATTGGAGAGTGTAAGTTAAATGTATTGGAGACCCTATTTTCAGATCAATAGTTTTAACAAAAGCTTACTATATCCTGAATAATCAATATTTCTCATTCCAGCTGCAAATAGTAAAGCAACGAGAACAGGCAGAGATGCTTTTTCGACAATACCTGGTGGAAGACAAAAGTGTTTACGGTGGAGCTTCTTATGTCGATTTCCTATGCTGTGTCCATAAAGAGATCTGTCAGTTGCTTAACTAAAGGAAGCTAGACATATACTTCATCAGATATTCCTTGCATTTGTAAGAGGGACTTTTCATTTGGTGACTAACTCCAAGTAGTGCTTTACTAAACTTTTCCTAATCTACTTTTTGTACAGTTTCTAACTTCACATATTAGTGCTCATTTTGAGTATGTAGTCAACCTTATTAATATGTAGAATAGGAAATTCTGCACTCAGGTATAAATCTTTTAGGAGGGTCTCTAAAGAGTGTCTGCTAACTGAAAGATGAAAATCTTGCTAAGCTGAAACCAGATATGTAGGAAATATAACCTATTCATGGAACATTCCAATATTCTCAATTATCCAATTGATTTTTTGCTATACATTTACATTTTAATCAACTTAATTAAACATGGAAAAAGTGCAAGTGAATAAAAATCCAGTTTGCAATATGTTCAAGGGGGCTTCTGCAGTGAGTTTCCTTTTTGGTTAAACTTAAAAACCTAACAAAACATGTAGATAATCTGAAGAAGTGGGTTGTGCCCATGAAAGCTCATGATACCATCTACATGTTTTGTAAGTCTCTAAGGTGCTACATGACTAGCTGTTGTTTACGTTTTTCCAGTTAGTCTGTAACTCAGCTACCCCCTCAACCTTTTTTGGTTATCGTTGTGTGGGGCAGCTGGGGATGTTTTATGGTCCCTTAAAATATCTAGAGCTAATCCTGGCTCACCTTCCAGTATGAAGCAAGTTGTTCAGGTAGCTTGTCCATGTCCAGAAAACAATCACCACAAAATGCACTACTCGTCTTAGGCTTACATGGCTCTTTCTTCCCCCATGAATCATGGCACTTCATACTGAACTACTTCTCTTTAACTAGTGCAGAGCTAAAGGTACACATGCCAGTCCTACTCTGGAACAGCTTATATGCAAGACTACAGCCTTCTTTAAAACACTTCACTAAAAGGTTTACCATAGGAGTGCATTAATAACAGTGATCTAGGCTAACTTTGCACAGGGTGAGAGTGGAAAGTGTTGTCCAGGACATCCTTGCTATTAAACAGGTAAGGCTTCAGAAGTGACATAGGGTCAATACTGAAGTTTTGATATTTGTTTCAGATGACCTGGCTCTGTATATAAGTGAGACAGGGTGCAATGGGCTACCTCCAATGACTTACATCCATGTGTGGATAGTCAAGGCTACAGCAGTAAAAAGTCCATCTATAGCTAGCCCCATCTCTTTGGTTTCCCATTATGCTCAGGAAATATATACATGACAGAAGTTGGCCCATGAAAACCGCAGTAATAAATACAACAAAAACTACCCTCGATTTGGTGGATACATTTCTCTGCCCTTATGAATCTTTTCTTTAATAACTGTAAAATGAGTCATTTACTACATACTTCAACAATAGTAAATTTGGCCTACTTCCTATAAAAAGGTTTCTAATTCTGAAAATGTAACTATATTACATCTAATTCAATATAATATGGACTATTATAATCCTTATTCACCAACTGGAATATTCATTGATTTTAACTTAAGAAAAATCTGCAATATGGTCTAAATATGTATCTTTTTGGAACTTCAAGGACTATAAGCACTTAATTTAACCAAAGGTCACATATGATGCTGGAAGCAACATTGTTATTTATTTACATACCAGTTATGTATTTCTGTGATGATTTGATTTGATTTAATTCAAAGACATTTGCTTTTAAAAAAAACCCAACCTAGATCACTGATTGGTATCAAAGGCAATGGCTAAAAGACTAAAAGGCAGTTTAAGTTTTCTATTGATTACATTTTCCTCATATGAAACTGTTACTGCATTAAATACAAGAGAAGAACATAATGATAAAGCTCACCTGCAGAGCTTGTCTCAACAACTTGGAACTCTCTCTGCACAAACACCATGGAAGGAAAGCAAACAGCCCTCAAAGTGTGATAAACTTCAGAAGCCTGCAAAAAATTGTGCCTTTTAAAAAAATATATTTTAGCATGTCAAGTAAATTAAAAGATGATGTAATGTTGTTGGTTCAAGTGGATACAAAGAGTTCAGAGCTCTCTTGACCAAGCTGGGGTATTCCAAAGGACATAGATGAAATTCAACTGGCAACTAAATCTGTTATTTCTTCACATAGCTGAAAATTTGTATAAGAGGTTTGTAGCTATTCCAATTCAGTGTACATTATGAATTACACCAGCAACTTTTGAAAAAATGTAAACAAATGTTTATTAAATATCATTACTATCGTGTGTTATTGATCATTCTTTGTGTTGTCCTCAGTTGAGGCTATAGTACATCGCCATGTAAGAAGCTCTGTACCATCAGCATGTGGCCTGAACACAATCAAGGGGCTTTGTTCCGGTGGTACTGTGCAAACTGTCTTGTACATTTATTACTGAAATAACTAGTATAGTACAAAAGATTAGAACTGTGGAAGATTTTGTATGCCAGTACATGAACTGAGCTTTAGGGGTGAGGGACCTGAAACTGATGATTGTGAGCCCAGTTTAAGTATGGAAAAGTTATAAAGACACCACCTGGGATTTGGATGAGATGAGTCTTTCGTCTCTGGTACCAATTTCTATTTAGTCCCAGGGAAGCGGTAACTGAAAATTACTGTCATCTGGTGGTCTCCACTGATGTTGCTGTATAGCACTGTCTAGTTATTTAGGCATTACAATGAAGACAGGCTACAGTTAACAGTGAGCACTCCTAAAAACCTTACAGCATAAATAACTATTCTAATAAATAGTTCCAAATGTTAGCCCTTTGCCCACTTTTCACTTTAGGATTTCATTTGCCTTCACATATTCTGGCAACAGTAATTTCTCTTCCCTAACTCGTTAAGATTGGGATGGACAGAAATCCTGACACAGAATGCTTGCACTAGGCAGAATTATTTATGGAGAAGCATTTGAACTTTATTTCTAGTAGCAGCAAAGTGTAGCTGACATTTGTTGATAGAACAAGGAGGCCCAGTGCAGATTACTTACATGCAAAATTCAGGTAACACTGTATTCTGAAGCAAGCTACTGCAGTACAATGGAAGTCTTCTGGGAACTTCAGAGTTTTCTTAAAAAAACGGAAGACTCCAAGTGAATATGAAAAATACGATTGGAACAATAATGCTTCTCTTTTGGTACTATATTTAAGTGTTGCCACATTTTCAAAATGCCAAACTGTTCAAGTTTTCAGGAGAAGGAAGTTGCAGACTCTTCATATTTGAGTTAGTACTCTGTTAAGATGAATGGATGAATTTGTCACTGTAAACCAAAGACGGAGACCAGTTTAGTTTAGTGGATATGGCACTAGAGTCAGAAAACCTGAGCTGTGCCAGAACTGGATTTTGTGACCTGTGTCACTTTGTCACACATCAGATTTCCCGCACCCCCGGCAAACATGAATAAAAATCTTTCCTATTTCAACAGATGTGTTGAGACCTTCAGATACTAGAGCAGCAAGAGCCATAAACTTACATAGACAGATGATGCTGGTTTGCTCCTCAGATTCTATGATCCATTATTTCAGACTGCCTGCAGAAAGAGGAAGGAAAAAAACTAAGCCAAAACTCCCCCTGCTTTACAAGATTTCACTTCTGCATTTGTTTACTTTGTCCATAACACTAGCAGTGAGAAACAAAAAACAAGATTATGTAGCACTTTAACAAGAGGGTTTATTAGGTGATGAGCTTTCGTGGGCCAGACCCACTTCCTCAGATCAAATAGTGGAAGAAAATTGTCACAATCGTATATCCCAATTAAAAAAAATGAACATGTGAAAAGGACAAATCAAATTTCAGAACAGAAGGGGAATGGGGGGGGGGGGGGGGGAAGTGTA